GAGTTTATTTCATTGCTCTGTTCTTATTTAAGTGTAATGAAAATTAAACGCTGGAAAAGAAAGAACTTTTTTTTATTTATCTGTTATTTAATTTATTATTATCATTTATTATTAATTTATTTATTTATCTCTGAGTTAAGACCTTTAACCCCACACTGTCCCACATTTATCTGTTATTTAATTAGTTTTTCAAATCGCAGAATTTGCACAAAACTTTAAGTTTTGGTTTGAATTTATGACATAAATCTCAATATGAGATGTTATGATGAATTATCCTTTTACCAAACACCTTTTCCCTCTTATTAAAGTAAATATATGATAAAGTTATATTACTCTTAGAGATATCCGCATTTTTAGGTTTGTGACATGAAGCTCTAGTGGAAGTTCAATTGAAGAAACTCGGGCTTTCCTCCATCCAATCAGAAGCTGATCCGCCTCTGAGGCGAGCCAATCAGCTTCCAACTCCTCCACCACGAAGCCCAATCAGCTTCCTGCTTTCACTTTAGAAGCTCCTTCAAATCCTCGTCTCAGCCCGCTATCCAGCAAGCGCATGATGTCAGATTTTGATTCAGACGACCAATTCACCCGCCTCCATCCCTCCTCCGCCATCGTAGCTGAATCGTCCTCCATGACACGACTTCTACCCCAACCTCATCAGAGAGTTTTAATCCCAGTCGTCACCATCCCTCGTCTCATCGCATTGGTCCGGCAGAAGACCACCATGTTGAGCCAGAGGTTTCTTCCCAAAGGGGAGTTTTTCCTCTCCACTGTCGCTTCATGCTTGCTCATCATGGACAGTCCATGGTACCTGTATCACCAAGCAGGACCTCTATATCCCGAGTCTCTGAGTGAAGTCCTGCTGTCAGCTCCTTCAGTCTTCTGGTCCCACATTCAGCTCAAGCAGATCACCTCGTTAACCAGCTTGGACTAAACCACCACCAGTTTCAGGCCGGGGGGGGGGAACATCCCTATTCTCATTCATCTACTTATGCATGTTAAAGCATATTTCAGCATTAATGTTCCTGCCGAGGTCTGAGCGCCAAAGACTATACTATCATATCAATAAAATTCTTCTAATTATCTTTTCTTTCTGTGAGTTTTTCAGATTGAAATAATATCGAGTCGAGCAAAACACAGATTTACCTCCACAGAACCTCAGAAGGGAAAGATTTATGTACAAGAAGTAAACCTGGACATGAAATTAGGTTTTGTTTTTATGATATTCTTTGTTGTTGGTCTTCATATAAATATAATACATCTGTTTTGGCTTAATGGCCCCCCTGGAGAAAACCCCACCAGCCGCTGCTGCCGTCAATCATTCTTGTTCTGACAGAAAGATCCAATCGGAGGTGAATCTTTAGTCTGATTCAGTCTCTGTAGAGAAACAGTCAACTGGGCTCACTGGGTTTACTGGGAAACATCAGAAACTCTTAGATAATTGTTAAAAACACCTTAAAACCAACAGTTTTTTCCCTAAATTCGTGTTTTTATCTGACTGATTCTGCCCAGTAAACTGAAGCCCACAGCAGGAGGATGATGGGTGACTTGTTATGTCTGCTGATGGATCAGAGCGACAGGAAGCGCAGAGTTTGTCCTTCAGAGTGTAATGAATTGTAAAGTGAACCAGCTACAGGCCATAACGCTCTCACAGTGCAGCTCTCACGTTCATCAGTCGATAACGTCCCAACATGTCCTCGCTGCAGCCGCTCCACTGGAGGCTGCAAACAGCTGTGCAGCGCAGATGTTTGCATGTCTGCTATGATCCTGCATGATGCTGCGAGGAGAGATGGAGGAAGAACATCTGGTATCATCTGGAAACTGGAAGAAACTTTACTGCTCTAACCAGAGGTGTTTATTCCTCCACTATAAATCCTGCTGTAGAAGAAGTTAGAGGATCAACTTTTTTCTCCAGTAAAAGTGTAAAAGTTTAATTTTTAAAACGACTTAAAGTATGAAACTAAAAGTAATGCAGGAACAAATGTTAAGGCCAGAAGTTTTACTGCTCTCCTATATTAAAGGAACATTTTCTACAATTCTGGATGAAAACTTCCTTAGACTTAATTTTCTTAGTTTTATAACTAACACTAATTGAAAAACGGTTTATTTTGGTTTGTGGTGAGCAACTAGTTGGGGCAACTAAACTAAAACTAGTAATTATTTTGATGGTTTTTATGTTTGCAAGGAAGGAAGG